GTTAGGGGCAATTAGGCAGGCAAGTGGTTGGGAGCCAGCAGTCCCACAGGGATCAGGCCTAAACCAGCAGTCGGACATCCCCCAAGGGGTCCCAGATTGGAGAGGGTGCAGGCCGGGTTGAGGGACACCCCCCCACCTCATGCATGAATTTTGTGCACTGGGCCTCTAGTGTGTATGTATATGTATGTATGTATGTGTATGTATATATATATATATATATGGCTAAGTGACAAACCTTACGTCCGTCTGACCGGCCAGTACATATGACACGTACTGGCAATTTAAAAATAAGCGTTGACTCCCACATGCACAATACATATAAAGCTCTTGCTGGCACCAATCACATTGTTGTTTTTGAATTTGGTTGTTTTTGTTGACATTCAACTGTGAACCACATTGCGATTTATTCATTGCCAGTACATATGATATGCACTGGCAATTTAAAAATAAATGTTGATTCACGCATGTGCGATACATGTAAAGCTCTTGCTGGCACCAATTGCATGCATGTTTTAATTTTATAATACTATATTATATACTAGTATACTACTTTGACATGTAATTTTTTCAGTGATGTAACTGCACAGATCTTTCTTCTAATTAATTTCCTTTCAATGTGCATGAATCCATGCAACAGGTCACTAGTAATATTATATTATAAATAAAAATGCTGCTGGAAATAAAATAATTAATATATTATTCTTTTTAAAAATATGTTTTTATTGATTTTTTTTGAGAGAGTGATAGAGAGAAACATCAATGAGAGAGGAATATCATCAATTGACTGCCTCCTGCATGCCCCTTACCAGGATGGAGCCCACAACCTGGGCATGTGTCCTGACTGAAAATTGAACTTGCTACCTCATCAATCAACTGATGAGCCACACCAGCCAGGCAATATATTAATCTCTAATAGTAATTATCTCTGGGTAGTAGAATTATAAGATTTGTATTTTCTTTTTTATATATTATTATATTTTTGAAAATTTTAATTAATTTATTTCATCTTTATTGTTGAGAGTATTACAGATGTCTCCCTCCCCCGCCACCCTTGGCCCCTGTAATGACTTCCTCCACCCAGGTCCTGCCCACCTAGGCCTTCACTACCTTATTGTCTGTGTCCATGGGTAATGCATATATGTATGTAAGTTCTTTGGCTAACTTCTTCCCACCCCTCACCTTCCCTCTGAGATTTGTCAGTCTGTTCCATGTTTCCATGGCTCTGGTTCTATTCATCAGTTTTGTTTGTTAGATTCCTTATTCGTTTATTTTTTTAGATTTAATTGTTGATAGATATGTATTTATTACCATTTTATTGTTCATCTTTCCTTCCTCCTCTCCCCTCCCCCTCCCCCTCCTCCTCTTCCTCCTACTTCTTCTTCTTCTTCTTCAAAACCCTTTAACATTTCATGTAATACTGTTTTGGTGGTCATGAATTCCTTTAGCTTTTTCTTGTCTGGGAAGCTCTTTATCTAACCGTCAAATCTAAATGATAGCTTTGCTGGGTAGAGTAATCTTGGTTGTAGGTCCTTGCTTTCATCACTTTGAATATTTCTTGCCACTCCCTTCTGGCCTGCAAAGTTTCTGTTGAGAAATCAGTTGACAGCAGTATGGGCACTCATAGGTAATTAACTGTTTTTCTCTTGCTCCTCTTATGATTCTGTCTATGTCATTAACCTGTGGCATTTTAATTATGATGTGTCTTGGTGTGGGTCTCTTATTTGGGACTCTGCCCTTCCTGGACTTGTAAGTCTATTTCTTTCACTAGGTAAGGGATGTTTACTGTCATTATTTCTTCAAATACATTTTCAATTTCTTGCTCCCTCTCTTCTCCTTCCTGCACCCCCATGATGTGAATGTTGGTACAATTAAAGTTGTACCAGAGACTCCTTACACTCTCTTTATATTTTTGGATTTTCTTTTCTTCTTGCTCTTCATTGGATGTTTTTTTGCTTCTTCATATTTCAAATAGCTAATTAGATTCTTGACATCCTCTACTCTATTATTGATTCCCTGTAAATTATTCTTCATTTCAGTTAGTGTATCCTTCATTTCTGACTGGTCCTTTTTCATGTCTTTGATATTTTCAGTAAGTTTCTTGAAGCTCTCATTAAGTTCCTTGAGCATCCTTATAACCATTGTTTTGAACTCTAGTAGTTTGCTTGCTTCCATTTCATTTAGCTCTTTATCTGCAGATTTCTTCTGTTCTTTCATTTGTCACATGTTTCTTTGTCTCCTCACTTTGGCTGCTTCCCTGTGTTTGTTTCTATTATTAGGTAGAGCTGCTATGTCTCCTGGAATTGGTAGAATGGCCTTGTGTAGTAGGTGTCCTGTAGGGTCCATGGCTCAGCCTCCTCAGGAATCTGAGCTGGGCTGTGTGCACTGTCCTGTTATAGCAGGGGTGGGCAACCCCTGGCACGTGTGCCAAACATGGCATGCCAGTAACTTTTGCTGGCACGCGAAACCCTCTCTTATAATCTTCCATTTACAATTTTTTTCTTAATATCGACTTTTTTATTTTTCAAATAAATTCAGTGTAGGTGCATCTTAGATAAATAAATAATTTTACATAACATGCAAACATTAAAAAATAAATGTATTTTTCATCATCATATACTGTGTTTTTGTCGCTCAAATGAATTTTATTATTTCTTCAAGGTTCTTCACATACATACACCTTAAGAGATATCAAGTAGGCGTAACATATTCTCAAAAAATTAGGGTTGGCACGCAGAAGAATTTTGAGTCAGAGATTTTGCTGGTTTTGGCACGCACTCACAAAAAGGATGCCCACCCCTGTGTTATAGTTACACCCCTTTAGGTGCACCAATGTGTGGGCTATGTGTACTGTCCTGTTATAGTTGAGCCTTGGTTGCTGTTGGTGTCACTGGAGGAATTGACCCCCAGGCCAATTGGCTGTGAGGACCAGCTGCAACTACAGTGGGAGAGCTGCTATGCAGGGGATAACCCCATGGAGCTGGACTTGCTTCAGTGGGACTTTGGTACTCACCAAGTCCGCCCCTTAAGTGTATCACTCATGGATGTGGTAGAGTTGTAATCTGGTGTGGTTTGAAGCTGTACGCCAGTTGCATTGGTTCTGGGGTCTCCCAGGAGGTGCAAAGTCAGCCACTGCCTATGCCCTGGCTGGGGCCACCCAGCATGAGCTACAGAGCAATCTGAAGATGGCTGCTATTTTTGTTGGGCTTAGAAAGTGCCCAGGAAAGGCCAAGCTGTTAATCTTGGCAAGTTGCTGCTAGTGTCAGGCCTGGGGCCGCTTACCGAGGTATGGGAACACTGAGTCCAGCTGCAGTTTGTTTGAGAGATTTTAGTAAAGTCTGAAGCCTGAGCCAGGACAGGCCATTCATATAAAAAATAAATTGCAAAGAGTTTGGATGGGGCTGCAAACTAAGTGGAGCATGGTCTCAGGGAATCTTCAGGGTGAGGCAGACAGTGTGGCCCAGGTTGATGGTGACTCAGATATGGTTCCTGCCAGTCAGCTGTGTGTGTGTGTGTGTGTGTGTGTGTGTGTCGGGGGGAGGGGGGGTCCCAACTCTTTTGTCTGGGAGAAAGCTGCTCCTGAGTTCTTGCACTGATGCCAGACAATTTAATTCCTCTCCATATGTCCCTGGATCCTGTAAACCTGCTGCCCCAGTGCTATAGCTCAGAGGGAGTGAGTCAGAGTAAGTCCATGGGCAGGCTCTTTAAGAGGAACTGCCTGGGACTCTAGAAGCCTTCCAGGCACTGGAACCCTAAGCTGAGGGTCCTGGTGTGGGGCTGGTACTCCTTGCTCCGCATGGGATATCCCTCACAATTAAAAACATGCCACACATGGGTGTCAGACTAGCCCATTCCGTGCCTCTCCTGTACCTCCTACCAGTCTCAATGTGGCTTCTTTTTGAATCTCTAGTTGTAGGAGTTCCATTCAGCAAGATTTCAGGTGGTTCTATATTTTAGTTGTAATTCTGATGTGGTTGTGGGAAGATGCAAGTACCAGCATTTACCTATACTGCCATCTTGGTTCCTCTCTCTAAATTTTCAAAATTTTTATAAGCAGTTTTTGCTACCTTATATCAGAAAAAGTTTTTCAAAATTCAATTAGTTTCCTTAAGGAAGAGCTCCATGTTTCTAGTTCCCATTCCTTTCCTTAGTTTTGACAAGATCATAATTTTCTTAATGACAAAACAAAGATTTCAACTGTAAAATAAACAGATGAATTTTCCTCGAGGGGAAAATAAGCTATCATAGATCAAATGGTCTTAGTGAGTCAGAGAATAATCCTTTAAAAATCTGGTTTTGTTGTAAGTCTCCAGGGCTTTGAGGTTTAATCAGAATGCTGAATCTTTAAGAACATCTAAAAACTGTATTATTAATGGTCCATAGCAGGGATGGAATAAAGTGCACTGTTTTTCTTCCTTTGTTTTATCTTGATCAACAGGCTTAACCTGTAGACCTGTTCTGATGCACCCTCAACAAAGGTATACAGTATTGTAGCCATGAGTATTGGTGTGTTCGGAGATTGTTTAGGGGAGCTGGGCTAACCCTATTGATCATACAGGTGTTCATGGCTGAAGCAGAAGATGAGTAAAAGCCAATAGGAACCTGTCATCATCTGGCCTTCCCTGAAACCCTGTTGGTCAGAAGAAGGAGCCAGGTGGAATGTTCGGGAAGAACTATGAGGGGTGTTTTCACACACTCATTATCTCATTTAGTCTTCACAACATGGTAGTCTCACTCTACAGATGAAGTCACAGAGGTCCATGAAGGTGAGTGATATGGCTAAATTCACACTCCCGGAGTGGGTGTTCATGCAAGGTCTCTAACCTAGATCATAAGGATCCATCCTCTTGGGAGAGGACTGTAAGAAGACAATGAGACCAGACACCAAACAATAAAACATAAAATTAAGTAAACATGCTACCATATCTTATAAGCTTTCTTATTTGTTCAAGATATTCACCCCCATTTTCATATAATAAATAGGTAAAGGGTTAAAGTCTTACATAAAATTCTTCAGGTGCTTCTGGAGGTCCTGGAAGTAGAGAAGCCTTTGGTGGCAATTTGAGTTCATAGGTCATTATACTCCACCTGAAGGGAGAAAAATCTTTGGTCTAAAATTCCTTTAAAATTTAATAAACTGGCTATGTCTCACTTCATATACAAAAACAGGCACATATATGAACTATGGTTTGTTGTATTTTAAAACAACCAAATGTGATTGAATATAAACTGCACTTGAAAAATAAAACAACCAAATATGGGAAAAGAGATAAAATTTTGATAATTTCACAAAATGCTGAATTCATAAGTTATGATTTCCATATCCTATCAATTATCTGTGTATTCAGGACTTCCAAACATTTTAAGGCCATGACCCAAGGTAAGAAATGCTAATAATTCCTCTTCTTCACCAGATGCAATGCATTCTGACTTTTCTATTCTTGTTGTTTCACTTTTAAAATAATGCTCACTGTAATTTAATAACTAGATTATACAACTTACTAATGGATCACAACCCAAAGTTCTAAAGCACCATCCTAGATTAAATAAGTGCACACTACCTATAAAAAAAATCATTCTCCATGTCACAACCAGTCATGCCACGGGTTCTACTCCCAGTCAGGACACATGCCCTGGTTTCGGGCTTGATCCCCTGTGGAGAGCGTGCAGGAGGCAGCTTATTGAAGATGTTTCTCTCTCATCGATGTTTCTCTATCCCTCTCATTTCCCCTCTCTCTAAAAAAATAAATAAAAAACATATATTTTTAAAAAGAAGTACCAGGCAGACAAAAATATGTCATTCTTACTCTAAGTGTCTCCACAAACTTGTTTTCATCTTTGTAAGAAAGTCACAATAATGCTTATTAGCTATCCCACATGCTGTTTTGAGGATTAAATCAATTGATAATATATGAAAAAGTTTTGATAATTTGGAATATTATTAAACAGCAATATTTTCACCTGGTCCTTAAAAACAGTATTCTTAAGGTAGTAATGAAAAGTCAGGAACATCTTCTGTCACCATATACTTGGCCCCTTTGCCCATATGGTGACAGAAGATGATTTGACTTTGGGTGGTGGGCTCACAATGCAATATACAGATCATGTATCACAGAAATGTACACTTGAAACCTATACGATCTTATTAACTAACTAGTGGCCCGTGCACGGATTTGTGCACTGGTGGGGTCCCTCAGCCTGGCCTGCACCCTCTCGCAATCCGGGACCCCTCGGGGGATGTCGAACTGCTGGTTTCGGCCAGATTCCCGCAGGCCACCTGCAGGGATTGGGCAGAAACCAGCAGTCTGACAGCCGAGCAGCAAGTGGCCAGGGAGGAGGCCGGGAGCTCGAGCCCCGGCCAGGCACTGCGCCGTTCCCGCTCATCCAGGCCCCGCTGCACCTGCCGCCGCCACCACCACTTGGTAGGCTCGCTGCCGCTCCGCTGCAATCTTCAAGCTGCAGCTGCATTGAGCGTCTGCCCCCTGGTGGTCAGTGTGCATCATAGTGACCAGTTGTTTGGTTGTTTGGTTACTTAGGCTTTTATATATAGATAGATGTCATCCCAATAAACTTTAAAAAATTAAATCAATTAGAAAAATATTTTTTAATAAAGCCAGGAACAAAATGTTCTTATGTTTCTAATAATAGTCTTTTTTTAGGTTAAAAAATCTAATATAGCCCTGGCCAGCGTCTCAGTGGTTAGTGTGTCAGCCCGAGCATCGAAGGGTCATGGGTTTGATTCCCAGTCAAGGGCACATACCTGGGTTGCAGGTTTGTGCTGGTCAGGGTGTGTGTGGGAGGCAACCAATTGATGTGTCTCTTTCACATCCATGCCTCTGTCTCTTTCTCTCTCACCTCCTCCCTCCCTTCCACTCTTTAAAAAAAAAAATAAATAGAAAAATATCCTCGGTGAGGATTAACAACAACAAAAAACTAAAACGTTTTAAAATCCCTTTTTATTTTTATTTATTTCTTCCTATGTTTTTGCAGGAGTATCAAGAAATTTCACCTTGGGGGCACTATTTCTCTGCTGACCATGTGGAGAAGTTAAATTTATAACGAGGGAAAAGCACACAGAGTAGGATGAAACGAGAGTGTGGTATTTAAATATGCAACAATAAGCCCTTTAAAATACCCTGTGTGGTTTGGTGAGCATAGAATTGGGTAGCTGTCTGAGAAATCACCTCCAGGCTCCTTTAAAGACTGGAGGTTAAATCCACTTTCTGGAGAGAAACCAAGATGGTGGCATAGGTAAACACTGGAAATTGCTGCCTCGCACAACCACTTCAAAAATACAAGTAAAAGACAAAACGGACCAAACAACCACTTCAAAAATACAACTAAAAGACGGAACGGACATCACCCAGAACCACAGGAAGGCTGGCTGAGTGGAAATTCTACAACTAAAAGGAAAGAGAAAAGCACACTGAGACTCAGAGGAGGTGCGGAAGTAAAGTGCAGATGTACGGAAGTGCACTTGGAAAGGGCTGGCAACTGAGGCCACGGTTGTCTTTTTCAATCAGGAGGGAGTCTCAAGCTCCCAACGGCTCTGACTCCGGTTCCGGGCGAGTCTCTGGGGACCCAGACTCATACGGGGAGAAACGGGACTGTCTGGCATCGGGCAAAACTTGAGGGCAGCTTTCTCTCAGAGGTGCTTGCAGCGATTACCGATAAACAGTCAGACCCGATTACCGAGGAACACTGAGACCCGGGGCCTCTTAGGGAAGGACTGAGGATCAGCCATAGCTGTTTGCTCCGCCCTGTTGATTCCCTGAGA